TAGGCCATATTCTGTGGCACGAAAAGTCGCTTAGAAAACGAATTCCGTTGCCCGGGTTCGGGCACTACTTTGAAACAAGATAAATAATTAGGATAAATTATACAAAGTCCAAATCCGCTTGTTTGCACTTCCCAAAACCTGCAGTTTTCGAGTATTTCTTCTTCGAAAATTGAAGAAATCGACGTCTTTCGCAATCGATCGCCGCCATTTTTGTTCAGGATACTTGGTGTAATAAACACTATAAATGGCGATTTTCGCGGGCTCACGCTCGTTCTTACATGAAGTTTCCAGCTTAGCATTTGTAAACATGGCGTCTTCTGATTCATGTTTAATTCATTTTGATGGGAAAAAAGGCCCACTTACAAGTTTTAGTGTGGTTTCGTATCAAAAATTTGATTGTCGTAGAATAACGCTAGACGTGGAAGAACGCAATGTTGCTCAAAGAAGTTTGCAATTTGTTAGCGACAGCATGGAAGTAGCACGGTCGAAAATATCGATGCAAATTTCTCTTTATATCATCGAGGTTGTTACTCGGCATTCACAAATAGCAGTATGATGGACAAAGAAGGTGTAACGGAATCAGATGAATACGAGTGCGGCAGCTAAATCATGGAATCACCACTTGTTGCCATGCGTTTGTATATTAATTTGCAAATCAGAAAAGCCGTATTTCACTAAATCGGTAAGTTTATTGATTTTTTTTTACAATTATTGTTATTTTTCTAATGTGTGTTTTATAATTATATATTGATTGCATTGCCTTTAGCCGCTCCCGTTATAATGGTGTGATTTCTATGCATGGTTTTTTATTATTTAGAAGTCGAAAAAGCGAAAGCTGGACAAAATGGTATTTGTGGAAACAGTAGATGGTGGTAAACTGAAAGAAGCTGCAACAAAGAAAGCTGATGAAAGTACATTTTGATTCAAATTGGCATTGAAAGTGAAATACCATAAACATTGACATTGTTATGAAAAGTATACAGAGTGCCTCAGTCAAGCAAGTGTTAGCAGAGAGTTTTATGGATGATGACATAGAAACGTCTCAGAGTTCACAAGAGTCTGAATCTGATCATGACATTGGAACGAAAGCATCCATGTACAGTGTCAGTACACAAGTGCAAGACTGAAAAAAATGTATACAGTTGGCCTAACATTGACAAACAACTTGCAAAGACTGTTGCAAAACAGTGTACATCTGATTGGTACAAGAACTGGCCACCACATGCATCAGATATTACTGGTGAAAACATTAGTATCACCTTTCTTGTTTAATTTTATGGCATGGATGCTTGGGTTTTCAGATGACCCAGAAGATGCTGACTACATTGAATTAGATGACCAAACTACATCAAAGATTTTTCTCTGTGTCAAGATTTGGTCTATATTTCTAATAGGGGGAAAGTACAGACACCCAAGTCCCTAGCACTAGCAATGACCGTTCGGCAGACGTTTGGTTGTTCTGGCCTGATATTTAAGATTTTGAGTGGTTTTGGACATTGTCTCTCACTATCTTTGGCAATGGCATATGATTCAGTTATTGCACAGGCAACTATCAACACATCAACATTATTCCAGTAATATCTGATGCATGTGGTGGCCAGTTCTTGTACCAAGCTGATGTACAAGTTGTTTCTCAATGTTAGGCCAACTGTATAAATTTCTTTCAATGTTGCACTTGTGTACATGGATGCTTTCATCCCAATGTCAACATCAGAATCAGACTCTGTGAACTCTGAGAAGTTTCTATGTCATCATCCATACAACTTTCTACTACACTTGCTTGACTGAGGCACTCTGCATAAACAATTTCACTCTTGTTTCATAACTTTGGTCTAATGGAAAACAAGTTGTGGAAACCTTGTACACATGTGCTTTTCATAACATTGTTTATGGACATGGTATTTCACTTTCAATGCTAGGTCCTTATCAGCAATTTGAATCAAAATAATTTCATCAGCTTTCTTTGCTGCAGCTTCTTTCAGTTTACCACCTACTGTTTCCGCAGACACCATGTTGTCCTGAATAATAAAAAAAAACATGCATAGAAATCACACAACCGTTATAATGGGAGCTGCGAAAGGCAAAGCTATTAATATATAATTATAAAACACATATTAAAAAAAATACCAATAATTGTCAAAAAAAAAAAAATCAATAAACTTACCGACTCAGTGAAATATGACTTTTCTGATTTGCAAAATTGCAAATTATAAAAATGCATGGCAACACATGGGAATTCAATGATTTCGCTGCCGCACTCGTACACATGTAAAATTCTCACATATTGTAACAAGTCTGCCAACAAGCCATCAACAAGATGTATTTGCACTGCTTGTAACAAGTTGTTAACAGGTTTGGAACAACTTGTTGACAACTTGTTGACAACTTGTAACAACCTTGTTGACGTTATTACACTTGTTGCAAGGTTGTTCTGACAAGTATGTTACATGCTTGATATGACAAGATTGTTACAACCTTGTGTTGACAACCTTGTAACATCTTGTTATATCATGGTTGTAACAAACTTGTTAGCACAGTCTTGTAACAAGGCTGATAATGCCATCAAGCTTGTTACAAATTGTTAACAGCTTGTTTCAAACTTGTTACAACAAACTGGGAACAAGCAGTGTGAAGACAACTTGCTGACAGCTTGTGAACAGACTTGTTTGCAACTTGTTACAAGCTGTACGTTTTTACGTGTGTACACATGCAAAAGTCTCGCATCTTGTAGCAAGTCTGCTAACAAGTTGTCTTCGCACTGCTTGTCCCAAGTTGTCAACAAGTTTGGAACAAACTGTTAACAACTTGTGACAACCTTGTTGATATAATCAGACTTGTTGCAAGGTTGTTCCGACAAGTCTGCTACAGTCATGATGTAACAGTATTGTTACAACCTTGTGTCATCAACCTTGTAACATTCTTGTCATATCATAACTGTACCAGACTTGTTAGAACAACTTTGCTACAAGTCTCATAATGCCACCAAGCTTGTTACAAGTTGTTAATAGCTTGTTCCGAACTTGTTCCAACAACTGGGAATAAGCAGTGCAAACACAACTTGTCGACAGCTTGTGAACAGATTTGTAACAACTTATTTGCAGACCTGTAACAACTTGTGCGTTTTTACGCGTGTAGGCGAACTCAGCGTACACATTTAAAAATGCACAAGTTGTAACAAACCTGCAGCAGACTTGTAACAATGCTGCTCCAACAACTTGTCAACAGGATGTGTTCACACTGCTTCTTCCAAGCTTGTTGACAACTTGCTACAAGGTTGTCGAACTCAACAGACTTGTTACAAGTTGTTCCAACAACTTGTTATCGTCTTGCAATTGAACAATTTGTCAACAAGTTGTGAGTGACAAGTTTGTGGCAACTTGATAAAATAATAGAATTTTTCAACAAGTTGCTACAAGCTTGTTAAGTCAACAACTTGTTGATAAGCTGTGCGTTTTTACGTGTGTATATAAAGTCTGTTGCCAACACATCTTGTTGACAAGTCGTGAGATTTTACGTGTGTAGATCTCAGCATTTTCTTTTAATACAGGTGGAGTTTCATCTGATTCCGTTTCTCCATCAATAATATCGATACCAGAGGATGAAGGTTCGCCTTCTTTGTCCATCATACTGGTATAAAAGAGACATTTGCATCGATATTTTCGACCGTGCTACTTGCCTACTTCCATGCTGTCGCAAACATCTTTGAGCAACATTGCGTTCTTCCCGTCCAGCGTTAGCCAAATTCTACGACAATCTAAAAAAATTTTGATACGAAACCACACTAAAACTTGTAAGTGGGCCTTTTTTCCCATCAAAATGAATTAAACATGAATCAGAAGACGCCATGTTTACAAATGCTAAGCTGGAAACTTCATGTAAGAACGAGCGTGAGCCCGCGAAAATCGCCATTTATAGTGTTTATTACACCAAGTATCCTGAACAAAAATGGCGGCGATCGATTGCGAAAGACGTCGATTTCTTCAATTTTCGAAGAAGAAATACTCGAAAACTGCAGGTTTTGGGAAGTGCAAACAAGCGGATTTGGACTTTGTATAATTTATCCTAATTATTTATCTTGTTTCAAAGTAGTGCCCGAACCCGGTGTAGCAGTCTCAATACTCCCCCGGTCTCAGTATTCCTCCATGACTATGCGCATGCGCGCGTCAGCGGTTTTGCATAACAACATTTCCGCGTGGTCTGAGTTATCCCCTTTCTCTCGCTGGCTGTCGCTACTGCACAAACACACAATCGTTATAAAATTTTGAGTGAATTTGTTGTCTCAAACCTTTAAAATGGTTCCAAAGCAAGAACCTGTCGTTGAGGCGAATTTGACGGATGAAGTTAAACCGAAAACTAGGAAAGATCGCTTGGCTCAACATAAAGAAAAAGTCGAGCAAATTGTCCACTACCTGCGCCATGGGAAACATCGCGATGGTTTGACAAAAAACCAACAACGAGTGGTTCGTGGCCAAGCAAAAAACTATATTTTTGATGAAACAAGTAATGTATTTTATAATAATTATCTTTATATTATTCTTTAGTCTGTCTTATGCAGCGCTCACGACCATTTTATGAGATGCATGTTTGTAAGTTTGTTTGCAAGACAGATGACTCTTGACTTTTGCATGTATCAGGGGGCAGTGGTAATTTTCAAATGAAAAAGGAAATAAATCTCAGATATTACAGCTACAATTCCTGGATGTTGCAGCCAAAATTCATGCAGATATCACATGTTTGGCATTTCATATATTACATTATTTAATACAGAGTGACTGGGGAAATTTTTTGAAATACAAAAATAAAATGCAAAACAAATATGGAAGTTTTACCCATCCCCAGTCCATATATATAGTCTCATGTTGGAAAAAATTGTATCAACTTGGTATGCGATTCTCTGAGCAATGAAACATGGAACGATACAGTGTAGAAGTGCTGTTACACTGTGTGACTTGTCATGCAATGTTGTTGCAAAATATGTTGTAGGTGAAATTCCAAAGTGCATAAATAGTACAATCAGCAATTAAGTCTTGGAGTGTTCTTGGTGTAGCAATGGTTACATAAAGTAGAGTAGTAGAATCATATACTTGTCTCAATTCCAGCAACATATTTTGAAGCAGTGTGACTGCAACACCCTAGTCAGTGCTCTTACAACTTTTCATTAGTTCTTTTGTAAGTAAGCATTTTCGGTATTTTCTAGATAATGAGCTGTATTACACTGGCGGAAAGGAAGGAATCCGCAGAAAGGTTGTCCTTACCATAGAAGAGATTGGGGAGATTCTTCATCATCATCATAGCGAAGCTATGGGAGGCCATAGTGGTGTGAATGCCACTCTTAATAAAATTTCCAACTACTATTGTTGGAATGGCATGAAAGAAGATGTCCAAGAATATGTGAGTTTATCCCCGAGCCGGCGGCGCGAAGCGCCATGCGAGGGTACTAATTCCCCCCGGCTATTATACACCCGGGGAAACGAAAGCATTAGGGAAGTCTAAAGTTCATCAATGAGCGCGGGCGTCGGTCACCAACGATGGGTGGTCATCCTCACTGATCTCAAAAATATGGCGGACTGTCATGAATAACGGACACTGATTGGTCCAATTTAAAGTTTGCATTATAACGACTGCATGACGACAGCGAAATAGCAAACATTTCTTGATTTGATGAGTTGATGATTGATAAATTTGTCAAATTTCTTGCAAATATTCTTCATTTTTGCTCGTATTTCTGCAAGATTTTGTAAATTTCAAGAATGAAAGGGCCAAAGGATCAGCTAAAAGAAGGGAGCCGACGTTAACGAAGGTAAGTTTGTTTTAAATATTGATTTTATAATGGCTTTAAAACCCGACGGCTTTTGCGTATATCAAACAACTAAACAAGACATACAAGACAGCATATAATTTCAGTGTATCTTTAATATTGATTCCCTTTTTTATTATATTGAATTTTTTAAATAAAAAATAAAGCAAAGTTATTTGCAAGCGAGAATTTGAAATCATTTTATTGCAAACTCAAAGTTTATCGATAAAGCCATTTAATAGTTAAAGGCAGTTTAGTTTTATAAAGAACACTTTAAAACGTTTTGTGAATTGTTTGTTGTTGAATTTTACCTTAAATTGAAGCTTGTATTACGTATAATTACATACCTAACATATATATATGTTGAGAAATTGATAATTTTGTTTTTAAAAGTGATATTTTTAGGCGATTTTTATTTGTAAGAATATTCTTAAAAAATTATCGTGTTACCATAACAACTACTTTAGATACTTCATGTTCGGAAAATACAACGGTTTTGTCAGCAAGGCGAGGGTTTCTGCATGCATGTATTTTCTAGTAGAAATACTATTAGTTCATGGGTTGCAATAACAAAATGTATTAACCCATATTACTTGTCAGGGGATAATCGTTCTAAGAAATTACAGGCGTGCTTTTACTAAACAGTGGATATTTCTAATATAGATCACATCATGTCATCAATGTCAGATTTATAGCAAGATAAAAACGCAAGCGCCAGAGCTTATCCCGATAAAAGTGAATGAGGCATTGGAGTTAGTTGGAATAGATTTGATTGGTGAGTACAAGCAGGAGTTGAAAATGAAAATGAAATTAGTTTTTTTATAGCTTAGTTTCTTCCTTTATCCAGTAATGCCTCATTAAAATGTTTCATTATGCTTTCAAGGGCCACTGCCAACAACTGCAGAAGGTTACAAGTATGTATGTACCTTCACAGACTATTATACAAAATTTGTGGATTTTTTCCCCATCAAAAGCAAAGCTGCGGAAGGTGTTGCAAAATGCATCAAGAAATTTACGTGCAGGTAACTTAAGGAACAATTTACTATTGATTGGGTTGTGAACTATTGTGTACTAAGGAAGAGGTTATTTGGCTGGCTCAGAGTGACAAAACGTAACAGAAAAGAAAACATGTTTGACGAAATGTCATTCTGAGGTCAGCGAAATAACTTCTGTGTACTAAAGGGTGTTATAATATAGCATTTGTAAATTCTGAACGCTGATTGGCTAAGAGCCGTGTTGATATAAACTCAATGTCAACACAGGAAATTTTCTGCTGTTTATAAACACGGAAATTTTTCTTATCCTTCGGGCTTTTGACATTGCTATATTATAAAAAAAAACCCCATTTTTTCCGTATTGATATATAGTTATATCAACACTCGTGGTCTCGTATTCCATACAATTTCTCATTTTCCCAATTCCACTCGTGTTGATATAACTGTATATCAACACGGAAAATGTTTTATATTTGTTAATGAAAATATGAAAATTACATCATCTTTCATTATCTTTAGATGGGGTGCACCTGCACGGCTGCTGTCGGACCAGGGGAGAGAATTTGTAGCAAAAGTGAATGATGAAGTCTGCAGAGAATTTGGCATCAAACGATCAGTGACCAGTGCCTATCATCCTCAAACAAATGGCTTGGACGAAAGAACAAACCAAACATTGAAGCAACGTTTATCTAAACTTGTGAATGAGCATCAGAATAATTGGTGTGACTTTCTGGATGAAGTTGCTTATTCAATTAGAACGCAGAAGCAAGCTTCGACAAAATACACACCATTTTATTTGATGTTTGGTCGAAATCCAAATTCAGCTCAAATGGTATTTAAAATATTATACATTATAACTGTATATGTTTCATACCCGAATAACTTAATTGAATAGTAGGTGCCCTACATTCATTTTTGTTTTGCTTTTAAATTGGTACCTTTTAAAAGTTAGGAGACTCTGCGGTCTGCCGAAAGTTATTTTGACAACTTCTATATGAAGTTCATTCACTTCATGTAATAACAATGAAATGAAACAAAAAGTGCAAACAATACTTAGCTGGCATTGCCATATTAATTAAAATGAATTTACGGCTGTACACAGGCTGCCGTTTCAGAGAGATAAAGATATTTAGCCTCTCTTTTTTCCTCAGCTAGTGTAAAATAACACCTTTTTTATAAATGGTGCAACATGTTTTGTACTCATGCAAAATTGTGATTGCTTATAGATAACAGTTGTGGAGGATAATTCATCTGCTCCTGAAAGAACAGAAGACCTGCTGGACCACGAAACTGGTGAAAGGATAGCAAAATCTGAAGCCACTCGCCAGCAAGTATGTACAATTAGAAGAATTAGCCCTTTAGTGCACAATGGCAAAAATGCATTTATTTACAATTGTTGTACCTTTTGTGTAGGTTCTGAGCAATGTCGAACTTGCTCAAGAAAAACAAAAAAAACAATATGAAAAGAGAAAGGCGAAGGGAGTGAAAACTTTTGAAATTAAAGTTGGTGACACAGTTTACAAACGACAGATGAAAAATGTATCCAGAAAAGGTGGAAAGATGGAACCTCGTTGGATGGGCCCATATAGGTACTAAAATAAATTAACCATTATCATGCCAAACCCTTCCCTCCAGGTGATCTGACAGTGAGCAAAAGGACTGGGATTAGCATCAGAATAGAAATCCAGTTTCGTACCTTTAATCATGTGTCACACCCTAAATGATATATCATGCATCATCACTGACAGCTTACTAACCCCAAAATAGTTACCGTATCTTAAGTCACTCACTATGAGGCTGAATAATTTCATTCAGGAAATTAACTACTTTTTATCACTGTTTAAGGGTCACAGAAATTGACAACATGCAAAGGGCAACCCTTGTTCCCTTTAAGGATGATGCAGCACCTCTCAAAAAAAAAGTACCATACGATCAACTGAGACCATACAAGACAAGCGAGCTTCATGACATGCAAAAAACTGAACAAAACGCAGACTTTTCATCATCATCTGACGACTTTTTATCATCATCCGACGACATCCAATCACTATTCGAGGGCACTTCACCACCCCGTAGCAACACCACATCACCATGTAATGATGACAGTCCAATACTGATTCATGACAGTCCACCATTGACTAACAACAAGACTAATGACAACAAGACTAACGACAACAAGGCTGATCACAACTAACAACACGACTAGTGACAACAAGACTAACAACAAGAAGACTAACGACAACAAGACTGATCACAACAAGACTAACGACAACAAGACTGATCACAGCAAGACTGGCAACGATATCAGCAACACTGCTGCCCCAGCAAAGGGTAACAGCAAAAAGTTAAAAAGAGGTCGCAAACCCAATGGTGTGTGGAAATGCACAGCAAATGGAAATCCTGAAGAGTTGGTATTAACCATAATGGAAGAAGACTACTGGCTTACCGATGAACATATTGTCCATGCACAATGGTTATTGTCAAAACAATTCCCAGACTCAAAAGGGCTACATTCAGTTTTGGCCTTCGAAAGCAAACCCCCGAAAGTCCAGAAAGGTGACAAAGACTTTGTTCAAATACTACATGTTGGAGGAAATCACTGGGTAACAGTCACAAACATTGGGTGTCAGGAGAACAGAATTAAAGTCTTCGATTCTCTTCGTCAAAAACTTTCAAAGAAAGAGAAACAAAAACTTTGTTCGTGCTTAGCAGTGCTGCTCAACACCAGCTCATCAAATATGGTCATTGAGTGGCCGTCAATGCAAAGACAAAGAGGTGAATCCGATTGTGGCCTTTTTGCTGTGGCAGTTGCAACTAGTCTTCTCAACGGAGAAGACCCAGGTTCCAAGAGCTATGACCAGAGTGTCATGAGAGGACATTTGGCTGTTTGCTTCCACTGCGAAGAATTGGCTGTATTCCCAGCAGCATCATCAAAATGTGTGAATAATGATAAAAAGGAAGAGACTATTGAGGTATTCTGCCATTGCAGAATGCCATTCAAAAATGGTGATTTCATGATTGAATGCTCTGTTTGTTTGGAATGGTTTCACCGATCTTGTGACAAGGTCCCACGAACTGTCACTGACAAAACTTTATTCCATTGTATGAACTGCAAATAGTTTGTTAATCATGAGTATAATTGTAAATAAGAGTGTAGATAAAATATGTAGTAAGGTTATTAATTAAAAGTAAATTGACAGATCACAAAAATGAAAATAGAATCAATGAAATTTTGTCGTGTGCTTCTTGAAATTTGTATAATACCTGTACCCCAGACTGAGGAGCATTCAGACCAGTCTCAATACTGCCCAGTCTGAGTATCAGATATCTTTTAAAAAATCATAATAGGAGATACTAGACTGGCAAGTATTCAGACCAGTCTCGATACTCCCCAGTCTGGGGTTATACTCCTGTTATAATTTTCAAAATGAGGTAACTCAGACCAGTCTCAATACTCCCTCATTTTAAAAATTATAACAGGAGATGCTCCAGACTGGCGTGCATTCAGACCAGTCTCGATACTCCCCAGTCTGAGTTCTCATTTAAAAAATTATAACAGGAGATGCGATTGGTCTGAATTCCTGTCAGACTGGTCTGCATGCTCCCCAGTCTGGGGCATCTCCTGTTATAATTTTTTAAATGAGAACTCAGACTGGGGAGTATCGAGACTGGTATGAATGCTCCCCAGTCTGAGGTATCTCCTGTTATAATTTTATAAATGAGATAACTCAGACTGGGGAGTATCGAGACTGGACTGAATGCTCTTCAGTCTGGGGTATCTCCTGATATAATTTTTTAAAAGAGATAACTCTGCCCCTGAGGAGCATTCAGACCAGTCTCGATACTGCCCAGTCTGAGTTCTCATAAAAATTATAACTGGAGATGCCCCAGACTGGGGAGCATTTAGACCAGTCTCGATACTCCCCAGTCAGAGAAATCTCATTTAAAACAAATTATAACAGGAGATGCTCCAGACTGGGGAGTATCGAGACTGGTCTGAATGCTCCCCAGTCTGAGGTATCTCCTGTTATAATTTTTAAAATGAGATAATTCAGACTGGAGAGTATTGAGACTGGTCTGAATGCTCCCCAGTCTGGGGTATCTCCTGTTATAATTTTATAAATGAGATAACTCTGCCCCTGAGGAGCATTCAGACCAGTCTCGATACTCCCCAGTCTGAATTCTCATAAAAATTATAACAGGAGATGCCCCAGACTGGGGAGCATTTAGACTAGTCTCAATACTCCCCAGTCTGAGTTATGTCATTTAAAAAAATTATAACAGGAGATCCCCCAGACTGAGGAGCAGTCAGACCAGTCTCAATACTCCCCAGTCTGAATTATCTCATTTTAAAAATTATAACAGGAGATACCCCAGACTGGGGAGCATTCATACCAGTCTCGATACTCCCCAGTCTGAGTTCTCATTTAAAAAAATATAACAGGAGATGCCCCAGACTGGGGAGCATTTAGACCAGTCTCAATACTCCCCACAGTTTGAGTTCTCATTTAACCAGAGGAGGTTGGACAGCTAATTAGGCGAATCTGGGCGAATCTCTCGACCAATCAGATTGCGCCATTTTCCTAATGCTCGCATGAAGCTTTTGGCATCGAAAATTTACATAGGGCTCATAAATATCGACTTTTTTCATATTGTTATGCACATTTTTTTGGAAATTTCGCGCGATACTACTTTTACAACAGTGAATCTACCCATTGGAACGGTATCTTGAAAGGTAAGCGTTATTTTCCAGTTTATTTTGACCTCTCACTTTAGGCACTATGCCGTCGCGATGTAATTTAATGGCGTTTCTGTCAACAATCTTTGAAGACAAAAATCTCAAATTTCCACGGTTCGATTTCGCTATTTTTTTCACGATTAGTTAAACAAAAGTATAATCTTTAATTCTATCCAGCCGGCCCCCCTCGGTCCCGCAACCGTTTTCGAGATATTCACCGTTGAATATAGCCCTCTGTAAAATATGTTGCCTTGTCACTCAGATCGATAATGAACTGCTATTACTCGCTTTTTTCTAAAGAAGTGTGGTATATTATAGAAGTTTCGATATATTATGGATTGTATATATTGCAGTTAAAGTGTGCAAATAATTAAAGCTCTTCCGTAACAATATTTTACAAGTGAAATTTATTTTTTGGCTGAAGTTTTAGATTTGAGATTCGTGATTTTGGCTGGATTCTATTTTTGTTAATGATTTTGTGTGCAAGAATTAAGCACCATCATTAAATTTGGAGGTAAAATCGGTCCTTCCAATCTGTACAGACCTTCTACATCTGCAACATCTCCGATGCTATGATTGTCTCTCCATCGAGTGACCAAAACCTTGTTCACTTTTCTGGTTATGTTATTGGTATGACTTCTGGATTTTCAAAACTAACCCAGCAACAACCAGAATAACTACTCATCCACCTGTTTCAAAAATGGCTGGTAAAAGTTAACCCTGTTACCCTGGTTTAGATGCTAAATTTGTCCCTCAAAATTTTTTCCCACTTGTTGCCAAGGCTATGTCTGTACTTCATGCTGGTCAAAAAGACAATCTGATTTATCACACTGCTCGATGCTTTGGAAAACAACGCCATGGAGATGTTGGTCTGATGTCATTGGATAGAATTCCCTTTATAGGAGTGAAGGCCCACTTGGCCTTTTTTTAACAGTATTTTGTAATGATGTTACACAACTAATTCAGATAAAGTTTGAGAAATGGTGGTTCTTTCAATGATAAGCCCCAGAGAAGGAGGTGGGGTCGGGCATATGTGGGCATTTGATTTTTTGAGCAAATTTTCAATCAAATGCCCCACTGTCAGGTAATAAGTATTGGTCAAACACCCCACCATTTTGCAATAAATTGCAATAAATACTATATTAATAAAAGTCATTTTGGTTCAAATTGCCCAAATTCAGGCCCAAAATGCTAATCAAAATCCCCAGAGTGGGGATGCAATTGATGATCAAATACCCCACATATGCCCACCCCCCTCTGGGGCTTGACATTGATAGGTGCAATTATATGCAGGGTTTTTTTGTGTTCTCATGTAATGTACCACAAAGTATCAGCAGCGTGTTATTGTGGGACCTTTGATCAATATGTATATAAATACTCATTAGACATATTTTTGTTTTATTGTTGCATTAATTTTAATGAAAAATAAATATTACTCACAAAGTTGGTCAAGTGAATGTATAAACTATTTATTTCTTCATTTAGTACAGCACATGTTACAATTATGTACTTGTCTTAATTGCATGAGTGTGCATGACAGACTTTTTTTATTTTAATTGTGCACACCCACTTATGATTAACCTAGTTTTTGTTTATGAAAATCTAAAAAGTTACCTAATTGAAATAAGATCATTTCTACAACTTGCTAAACCTAGTCAGTTACTATTATATCACAAACGTTAACATCTGTCAACGTACACTCATGCTCTCCCTTACCACTTCAGTCTCCAACTCACCACGTCGCTTTATGAAAATTTTTTGATAAAATCCTATTTTAAAAAAGTCAACCCTATACTTCAGCCAATGATATGTTGAACATAGACCTCTAAGATATCAACTGTGGCAATTAGTCGGTGCAAATGCTCGCATAGTTGAGAAGCAAGATAACCAATGTGTGTCCATCCACTTCCATTGTCTACATCAAGTGCAATTGCTCTTGGGTCCATTGGATTCAATGGCTCTGCCCGTATTCTTACATTCACTGGTTTATCTTGTCCATGAAGAGCAAGGTACAGTATGCTGTTGATGTTGGTAATTTTTCTCATGAGCAGCACCGATGCACTTGAATGGTACAGCATGGGTGATTTCGTCCTCGTCACTTTCATCCTCATCACTTAACTGGTCACCACTTTCTGCCCTATCACCTTCATTACCATATCCATGCTGACCAGGTTCAAGACCAGCCAACCACTCAAGTAGATCCTTAGTTTCTACAAAATCATAACAAGAAAATTTTTATTGTATTATTTTGTACATAAGCTGTAATCTCTAAAATTAGAAATCTAATGCAAAAGTGTGTCACTATTTACAGTAATATTTATAGAACAACACACAAATATGGCAATATTTTACAGATGAAAATTGAAAAATATCACTATTGTATGCACATATATGTAAAAATCTATCCACAACTAGATACAAACAGGCATCATACTTCAGCAAAAATTTATTAAACAATTTGTTTAACTCAAAACATGTACATAATTATGTATCACAGTGACACAGTACATAGACACACACAATAGGGTCAAACTATAGGCAATAAACACAAATATTATGCTATAATTTTGTACAGTGTATTTATGAAATTACAGTACAGTACAGTGCAAGAATAAAAACAACAAAGCTGAAATTTGACTAAATAACAAGATAACTGTAATGCATTGTAGTATACCAACCCTATTAAATACTGCGCTTGTTTTTATGTTGATGATACACGGAGATTTAATAACGCCATCCAACTTTAATTAGAAAGAAGAGCCTCGCTATTGGGAATATAAATTAAACACAATTCCTTTTCTCAGACGGATTATTTGTAAAGCTAAAATGACAACACGTCCCATGCAATTTAAAAAAAGGTAAACTTGATATAGTAAAACACAAGTCATAATGATGATCGCAACAATACAGCAATAACATGCTGTTTTCACAAAATATCGCAGCCTGACATTCTTGTCGTTCGAAAGCTTCCATATTGTTTTGTAGTCAGAGAGATGTTCACTCCTCGACAGTCAACAGTCAATGAAAGCCACGCGTGGAATTAGGCGCTCAATACCCAGCCTCGTAACCAACCTCGTACCCAGGATCTTTCTTTGGGAAAGACCCTGGCTGCGGCTGGTCACGTGCTTCATCAAAAATTTAGCGCCTGAGGGGGTGTGGGGAAAGTATCAAATTACATCAACATGCTTCCAGTGGGATATTCGTTAAAAACATAGATTTTGCGAATTATTACGTTCAAAATACTTGCTAATTTTTGTTTATTTTCTTTGCTTTGAATTTACAAGAACATTGTTACATTCTTACTTACAGTCAAGTCAAGAAACCAAGCGAAATCGTTACTCGCAGTGCTCTCTCGTGTTGTTATTCAATGCATGCTCTCTTCACACTCGAGCGCGGTTATAACAAACGTTTGTTGTAATGTTTTTAAAATAGGCTATTACATTTGTCCTTTCTTGTAAACGTTGATACGCTTTGCACCGATTCACTTGTTACTACGCGTCTTGTTTATAAGATTTTTAAAAGAAACAGTATTGTCTAGGACTGGCCCAAATATTAGCAAATGTAAACATTTGATAATAGCCGAACAGAGAAATGTCCATAAGCATAGAGGAAATTTCAGTCATTGATTTATCTGGATTTACTACATAAATTCGTATTCGGTAATTATAGTAAGACTTTAGCCTTTTTCTTGGTCTCTATTAATCATTATATTGTGCTAATATACTATAATCTATATCACAAATTTACAGTGTCAGATGCGCACAGACCGTCATTTGGCGTCATACGAATAGACATAAATTTTCGAGTTTTCTACTTCTACTAACATTTTTAAAGTTTTCATTGTGAATCACCTGTTTATCTCTAACTCATTAATCATTTGCTACTTATATTTATTTGATAGTGTCAATGTCATATAGTGAATAATGCGTTTACACACAAGCAATCCTGGATATGATATAGACGATGCAAGCTGTCCATTAAAAAATAACGGTATTCTATTTCACAAAGCAAAAATTTAAATCTCACTTGTATATATTAAGAATGCATATAAAGCAAAAAATTAAAGCTTATTCATGTCAAAACGAAAGCTGTTTACAAAATTTATAAAGGTGGTGAACACTACTAAACAGTGCTCATTGAAAGACATGTATAATACAGTGACATATAATTTGCCGTTTGACTTATCTTTGGTGTATGATTTTAATACCGTAGATTTTCAACAGACAGCTATACTTTGACATATACCATGATCGTTGGATTCAGCAATGCCAAGGGCCAATTTTATAGTCTTTTGACGGGCTTTAAGTTTTTTGATAAGGCCTTTATATAGATCAACAATCTGGATACAGTTGGCGATATTTCGGAAATCAAAAGATCTCGCTATTTCGTTGCAATTCCACATCTCATCAATAAATAAATTCTTTTGGTCCGAGTATCAGGATAAACTTTAATACTAAATAAATAACAACCACACTGTTCGGTCTAGAGATATATATTTCCTTGTAGGTTTAATCACAGTTTAATATTGCCACGCTGCACAAGCGGCAAGCGTGCTTTCTTTGGCAAGTCTATAATGAAATCTGATCCAACTTGCTTGAATTGTAACTCGACACCAGATTATAGAGTAGAACGTCACGACATAAATATAATTCAAGAGTTCTCTTTATAATTACGATTTCTTGTTGCAAATTTAACAGTAAATTTCATCACCCAAAGTTGCAATTTTAAAACGCTACAAACACTCTCCTTTCCCACCCCTCTCACAGTTACAATTAAATTTACCTCCCAGAATCTGGGAGGCACGTGACCAGCCGCAGCCAGGGTCTCTCCCAGATGACAGACGGAGAGACCCTGGGAACGAGGTTGTCAATGAAGTCACGCGCGGAATTAGGCACTCAATACCCATGATGCTTTGCGGCCTGCTGTCCAACCTCCTCTGGGGCCGTGTAATGGATGGAGGCAGGGCGCTGTAAAACACGGGCGGTGAAACGGCTATGGCGCCCCTGATCTATGTGTGATGCAGGTCCCCCCGCTTATTTTCATTTTTATTCGAATTCGATGTGGTTTGATCAGGCATGCATGTTTGTTTTGACTTCTTTTTAAAATTACTACGTAAAAAGGTACAATTCAAGCTGAATTCACAATGGATTTGGGATCTGTGCTATTACTATAGACAAAAACCTTTTTTCCGGATTCTTAATCACGGCTGATTATATGGGGAATGTTGTAGTGCAAGATATATTAAGTCTGGGATCTCACTCACGAGGATCAGGGCGCTGTAAAACACGGGCGGTGAAACGGCTATGGCGCCCCTGATCTACACACGTAAAAACGCACAACTTGTAACAAACCTGCAGCAGACTTGTAGCAAGTCTGCACCAACAACTTGTTCACAAGATGTGCTCGCACTGGTTGTCCCAAGCTTGTTGTAACAGACTTGTAGCAACTTGTCGACGGACTTGTAGCAACTCTGTCGTGACGATGCTGTAGCAAGCTTGTTGGCATCAAGTTTGTAGCAAGCTTGTCAACTGACTTGCAGCAAGTTTGTTGGAACAATGCTGCAGCAAGCTTGTCAAATTCAATCCGTAACAACCTTGTTTCATCAAGCTTGTAACAAACATGGCGACTCGTGAAAAATCCCGCGGGTAAAAAAAACACGCGTGTGAATATCACTTCGCGTGTTTTCCCGGGGGGTGTCAACAATAAAAAATAGACAACACAAGTTTGGTGTAAAAAATCGTATATTTTGAAAAGAACATACAAGGAATCAAGGATTAGTAAATAAATACAAACTACAGAGTTAAAGTACAAGGTAAGATTGTTATAAACATATATTTAGCATGCATTAGAACAATAAACTGCATTTTCTGAGTCAGTATATAAATATAATACTGAAAATAAAACATATTCCTAAATTGAAAACACTCCTATTTTGAGCAATATTTATATTTATAAACTACATATATAAACATATTGTCAGACTGTCATTTCAAAATTTGTTATTGTAGTCCCAACAGAAACCATGGCAGCATTTTATCAATTTATATAACCTGGTTGTGTGATGTTACTCTGATTGTATATCCACACCGGGCAGGCCTGAAAAGTGAAAATATGCCTGGCCAGGGTGGGAATCGAACCTATGACCTTTGGAATACTAGCCCGATGCTCTGCCAACTGAGCTACGCGGTCAAGACGGTTCGAGTATGCAATATTTTGGAACTGAGTCTAGTTCCTTCGATATCAGTGTAATCTAATAATCATGATATTTGCTGTGTTGGTGTAATGTACTCAGGTGAATCAGATGCTTGTGTGATGTTACTCTGAGTGTATATCCACACCGGGCAGGCTCGAAAAACACTCAGAGTAACATCACAGAAGCATCTTATTCACCTGAGTACATTACACCATCCCAGCAAATTTAGATAACCATTACTCAAGTACTTAATTAACTACTATTTGACATATTTGTGAGATGATTTTACGCAATGGGTTCATACTCATGGATTTTTTATTAATTTCAATCATGAGCCATGTCGGGAATGTATTTCCATGTCTCACCAAGATAAAATCTGTTTATCAGATATGTTTTGTTAGCCATATCATGCTGAAAGACACACCTTTCTGTTGTCACCATCTCTCTTTCTTCAGCACAGTGATGATCAGTGATGGTGAAGGCACATCTGTGATCGCAGTTGTGGACCATGTTGACCTTCTCCAACACAGCGTTGGCTCTAACAAGCGCCTTTCCTTCTGTTTCCTCAAGAATGGGAGATCGAAACTTCCCATAAAGAACATCACCATCAGCTGCTCTTAGAGGGGTGTATGGTGTTAGCAGAACCCAATTTGCTGGCTGTTCTTCGTGGGAGAATTGCACTGATGTGCAAAATCGTCCAAAACATATCTGAAATGCAATGGTATGCTGTTGAAATTTTTAGCTGTTAAATATTCTGTTGACCCTACAGTTACATTTTAATAAACCTTATAAATGCATTATGATGTATTCTTATTGTTCGTGGCCATTATAATCAGAATGCTTAGTGAGTTTTTAACAGAAAAAGATAGCAAATACATGCTAAGCATTCTGGTTGTAGTGGTCACACACAGCAAGAATATTTCATAATATTGTGGACTGGGGATTTGTCAAACAAGTTGATGGCTTTAGCCCCCCCAGGCTCCCTCAGAAGACTTGAATTTCCACCACTGTGGCAGTATCAAATACAAATGTGATAGCATTGTAATTATAGTACCTCATCATTGAGGTTCATATATGCAAAGGCTTCTCCTTTCTGGACCAGTGTTCTGTTTTGTGCAATACAGCCTTTAAACTGTTTACACTGGGGTGGAATATGGACATCTTGAGCTTCAATGTCATCTTGCAGAGCAATGACGGGTAAGATGTCCTCCGTTTGCATCATTTGTAGTCTGTGATTCTTATATGTTCCCTGTGATCATAGTAAAAATAATTTTATAAATACTTACTGTCGTTCCAATTGAAGCGTTGCTCAAATATTGATTCAATACATTACCTCGGGCTGGCCAATTCATTTGATCAAGTTCCTCGAGATATTCATACACTTCCTGTGAAAGAGCCAATTCCAAGTATTTGGTCATTTCTGGTCACTTCCTTTCTATTTATGATTGGTTAGTTGCACAAACAACAAAGGTGATTGGTGCATTCAAACTATTCAACAGGACGTTTACAATTATACTAGGAAGTGTATGAATATCTCGAGAAACTTGATGAAATGAATTGGTCAGCCCGAGGTAATGTATTGAATCAATATTTGAGCAACACTTCAATTGGAACGACAGTAAATTATGCGAAAATTTGTTTCATGTCTGACAAGCAATCCACTGGTAATGGCAATATAGAGTATATTAATTAATGTATGATATATATACTAACCAGCCTAAGGCTTCCAGGTTGGTAGATTTGTTTGTGTGACTGACTGCAATTGGCATCGACCTGGTACATAAACTTCTGAATCACTGGCAGTTGACTTAGTCGGATTATTTCTTGTGAAGCAGATGTTCTAAGTATAGTTAAGGAAAATTTAACAATACAGATTAGGTATGAGATTTAATTCCACTTGTGTTGACATAACTCTATATCAACACGAAAAAAGTTTTATAATTATTAAATTGCACATGACATTCTTACGCTGCTCTCTTACACAGTTGTCTATTTAATAAAGTGGGATGACTATATAAATAACCTGTTGTCCGTTCCCCAGCGACCTCCGTTGATCAAAAACTTCAGGACATGGTGTTGGAGTAATCGCTCCCCAATATCCTTACTGCTTCTGTGATGATTTGAATACACATTAAGGGTTCTTATCACAGAATTAAATGCTTCAAATCTAAAACAATTTAGTAAAGAATGACTTCAGGATGGTATATATTATATTATATTATTTTAAATCCGGAGAACTTCTACAATTATTGAATCATATACCGGTATGTGTATGTATGATATGTATGTATGATATGTATGTATGATATGTATGTATGATATGTATGTATGATATGTATGTATGATATATATATAATATATATATATATATATGATATATATATATGTATGATGTATATATATGTATGATGTATGATGTATGATGTATGATGTATGATGAAAATGTATATATGTATATGTATATGTATATGTATATGTATATGTATATGTATGTATATGTATGTATATGTATGTATATGTATGTATATGTATGTATATGTATGTATATGTATGTATATGTATGTATATATATATGTATATATATGTATATGTATGTATATATATGTATATATATGTATATATATGTATATGTATGTATATATATGTATATATATGTATATGTATGTATATATATGTATATATATGTATATATATGTATATATATGTATATATATGTATATATATGTATATATATGTATATATATGTATATATATGTATATAT